ACCTAGGGAGGATTTTATATGGGGTTTATTTTTTAGCAATTTGACAGAGACACAACTTTAAAATTTGATTTAATTCGGTTTTATCGGGGGGGGAATGTATTTATGTTTTGTTTTAAATATGTTGTGCGCCGCCCTGAGTCCCGTCGGGAGAAGGGCGGCATATAAATTAAATTAAATAAATAAATAAATAAATAAATAAATAAATAAAATGGGAAGGACAGGATGACATCCGTGGCAATCCCTATTTGCGTGCTCAGCCGAGCTTTGTCAAGGGTAATTTATGAAAGAGTTTATTGTTCCGATTAGTTAACTTGAGCACTTGTACATCTCTGCAGCCGCTGTTCTTCTAGCGCACTAATCAGAAATGTTTTCCCTCTCTCTTTTTCCCCAAGGCTCAGTCCTGTCTGACATCATCCAGAAGTACTTCTTTTCCCCTACGTTGTTCCGAGTCATCCGCTTGGCTCGGATAGGTCGGATCTTGAGACTTATCAGAGGTGCCAAAGGAATCCGAACGCTTCTGTTTGCCTTAATGATGTCCCTCCCTGCTTTATTCAACATCGGGCTCCTTCTGTTCCTGGTCATGTTTATTTATGCCATCTTTGGCATGGCCAACTTTGCCTATGTTAAGAAAGAACACGGGATCGATGACATGTTCAACTTCGAGACATTTGCCAACAGCATGCTTTGCCTGTTCCAGATCACCACGTCGGCTGGCTGGGATGGTCTTCTCAACCCCATTTTGAACACGGGGCCCCCCTATTGTGACCCCAGTCACGTTAACTCCAATGGGTCCAAGGGGAACTGTGGTAGTCCTGCGGTGGGAATCCTGTTCTTCGTTACCTACATTATCATCTCTTTCCTCATTGTGGTCAACATGTACATAGCTATTATTTTAGAGAATTTCAGCGTCGCCACTGAAGAGAGCACGGAGCCGCTAAGCGAGGATGACTTTGATATGTTTTACGAAACTTGGGAGAAGTTTGACCCCGAAGCTACGCAGTTCATTACCTACATTGCCCTTTCCAGTTTTGCGGATGCTCTGCCAGAACCTTTGCGCATCGCGAAACCCAACCAGGTTAAGCTCATAGCCATGGACCTTCCCATGGTGAGTGGGGACAGGATCCACTGCTTAGATATTTTGTTTGCTTTCACCAAAAGAGTTCTGGGAGAAACTGGAGAGATGGATGCCCTTAAAATACAGATGGAGGAGAAATTCATGGCCGCCAACCCATCGAAGGCTTCTTACGAGCCTATCACCACCACGCTGAGGCGGAAGCAGGAGGAGGTGTCTGCGACCATCATCCAGAGAGCTTTCAGAAGTCACCTTTTCCAACGTTCCCTCAAGCAAGCATCTTTCTTGTACCGCCAGAAAAACTGCCCCCTAGGAGACGTGGCCCCAGAGAAGGAAGGCCTCATTGCTTGCATGATGGATGAAAACTACGGGAAGCCTATCGACAAATCCGAAACTCTTTCCTCCACTTCCTTCCCCCCGTCCTACGACAGTGTCACCCGGGGCACCAGCGAGAATTTCCAGCTAAGGTTGACGGACTCCAGTGGATGCGACGAACCGCTAGACGACCCGTTGTCAGCTGACCGAGATAAAGAGTCAATTGTTTAAACGTGTTTCTCCCGTTTAAAACACTTTACCATATTGTTTACAGAATGTAATGCTGTCACTACACAACCGTTGAAGCAGCCTTGTTAAACATTAGTTGCGAAGGCAGCAGGAATGCAGGTAAACCCTGAAGGAAGGGTGCGTCACTGTGTTACAGGGGCCTAACCTCTCACCCTGCTCTTTTCCACTTTTGCTCAATGTTTATATTTATATATGCACAAGGAAGGCAGAAGGGGAACCAGCACAAGGTCACAGCCAAAGTGTGATTATCCCAGACGCTAAACTGTAAGACAGGAAATATTTATACCCATACTGTACACAGATAAACTTGAGCGCGCGTACTTTCATTTTAAGGTCTTACTTATATTTAGTGCATTTATTTATGGCAATGCACGACCTTGCATCCTATAATAAGAGGAGTGGGATGGAGAAGAAGACCAGCAATCAGGTAGCTGCTCCAGCAATGCTTAATGTGTACGTTATGAATGGTCTTTCTAAAAAGAAAATTACAGATGGTCCTCATTTAGCGACCACAGTCGGGATCGGCAACTGAAGTGGTCTCTAAGTGAAACTGCAAATGTGCTCATGAACTTCCTTCAGCTTTCCTTGCCTTTGCGGACCACTGAAGGTTGCAAATGCAAGGATTAGCCAGAAAGCTACTTTTTCACCGTCATCATCATCATCGTAATTGGGAACGGTCGCTGTACAAGGCAGTCGCTAAACGAGGACTACCTGTATGTATGTGTGTGTGCCTTCTTTTCCACGAATTATTGTCATTTTACATCTGCCTCCCCCGGGCCCAGATATGTTGGGATGATATAACACTTGAATTTGGGGCCAGCCATAGGTAGCATTGAGGTTGGCCATATGGCTGGGAATTTTGGGAGATGTTGTTCCGAATCCTACGGAGGTGCCAGATTGGGAAAGGCTGTTCTAGAGAAAATGGGGGATCAGGGAAGGGTCCCCCCATCGACAGGAGATGCTCCTGCTGGCTGAAGGTTGCAAGGCAAAATTATTGTGTCAGCAGCATTGCCATTTTCTGTTGCAGCCATGCCCCTGCTTACAACAGGCCTGTCAGCAATTTAATCCAGGGGGGAAAAAAAAAAAAAAAAGAAGACAACAAAAATTGACTTTGGAGAAAGCATGGCTTTATTTTTATTTTTGTTCTATCCCGCAGGATATTAGATACTAATGGATTCTGCTTGTAAAACCGGCCAATAAAAGCACTATTTTTTTACTATGTTCCAAGAATCTACTTTGCGTACAGAAAGTGACCTGCTCCAAGTCCTTTCCAAAATAGCTTCTAGCTTTTGAACACCCTCCCCCATCCCAGCTCCCCCCCCCCAAAAAAACACCCCATCTTCCCCAACAACTCCCAAAGGGACAACCTTCCATAAAAAGTTTATTTGCCGTATTTGCCTTTCATTCAGTCTGAACAAGCCTTGATTTAACCATGATGAGTTCACACCATATAGGGTTATTTCCATGAGGCTGCTTAACTGATATGAAAGGATGGATCTGTTTAAGGGGATTATAAGCAAGCAGAAAAGAAAGATTTGATAAACTTCCAGAAGGAGTCGCCTGCTTCAAAAGTTGATTCCTTGCACTCAACCAACAACCCAAGGATGCAATTCCAACTGGATCACTAGAAGATTCCCTAAATTCAGACATGCTGTATTTTAAAATTTTCAAACCAAATCCTATTTTCTTCCCATTTTTGCTCATTCTCTTAAGTAGGATACAAGAAGGCTAAAAAAAAGAAATTGATTGATTTGGTCAGTATATCCCTCAGTCTAGGTTTGACCACAGAACCAGGGTTGTCTTCCTCCTCCTCCTCCTCCTTCTCTTTCTTCTCCTCCTCACCCTAACCCTTCCCTTCCCCTTCCCCTTTCTTCTTCTTCTTCTTCTTCTTCTTCTTCTTCTTCTTCTTCTTCTTCTTCTTCTTCTTCTTCTTCTTCTTCTTCTTCTTCTTCTTCTTCTTCTTCTTCTTCTTCTTCTTCTTCTTCTTCTTCTCCTTCTCCTTCTCCTTCTCCTTCTCCTTCTCCTTCTCCTTCTCCTTCTCCTTCTCCTCCTCCTCCTTCTCCTCCTCCTCCTCCTCCTCCTCCTCCTCCTCCTTTTTCCATTCTTTTTCCCCTTCTCCCCCTCCTCCTCTTTAGGGTGATCCTAAAAGGGTGAGCATGTTGCACAATTGTCTTCTTATTCTTGATCTCCCATCTTGTCCAATGAAGTCAACATGCTCCTAAATTCAGCATGTCAATGCATAATTCACAGCCATAATACATGGCATAGATGTTTTCAAAAAGATTAGGCATTTTCACAAAAAAGGGATATCTAGAGCCGCCAGCAAGACATGGAATTTTTGGGTGTACTTCTGCAAATACTATATGTTGGGGTTGAATTTACATAGGAGGGAGTTTGAGAGTCCAATGCAAAAATTAGTACCGCAAGCGATTTTCCAGGATGAGGGGCAAAATTCATTTTTGGCTGCTGATTCTTGGAACAAAAAAGGTAAGGATTTACTTGTTGATGTGTCTGTATACCTTTGTTATTTTTGTGAATGACCCATGGCAGTGAACATATCTAATATTCCTTATTCCCCCTATTTTCTCCACAACAACAATTCTGAAGTGAGTTGGCCCAAAGTCACCCAGCTGGCTTTCAAGCATGTATATCTTTCCTTTATAACCTTATCTAGATATAACACAACGAACAAGGTTTTTCTAACCCTTTCTTTTGGGTCCATTCTTTGCTGAAAAGCACATGTAAAACAACTGCTTGATAGTCAACATTTCCTCTGCCCCCCCCAAAAATAAAATAATTAAATTCTTGGAAGCTTTGAATTAAAGATCTTAAAAATAGGAAAACGAGCAGTATCTCACCCTAATCTTAACCAGGATGTAACCCTGCCATCACCCCTTCCATTGAGTGAGATGGTTTGAATCTCATCTCAGGCACTTGGTGGGGTTTATAATATTTCAGTGTTTAATTCTGTGGCCTCCACATACAAGTTCAGCAGCCGTTCCAAAGGGCACTTTTTGTGTAACAAAACAGCCTTCCTCACTTGGGGCTCTCTCGTGGTGCACAACAGCAACTGGGGGAAATGGCTTAACTGCCTGTTCACTAGTAATGCAATGTGTTCCTCCTGTTGTGCCGTTGTGTAAGTTGTCTCCACGTCCTGTACGTTGTCTAGTTTGGAGAGCAGTTTTTGGAGTGGTTGAACATTCAGCAAATATTTTCTTTATGTGCCTATTTTATTCTTGTGGCTGTCACACCAAGCGAGTATTAGCTGCAGTTAGACAGAACAGTTCTTTCTAGACCCCAAGGATCTAAGAGTCTTTCTCTCTTTCTAATTCTCCCTCTCATTTTCTCTCTCTCTCTCTCTCTCTCTCTCTCTCTCTCTCTTTTTCTCATTTTGTCTTTCATTCTCTCTTTCTCTCATTCTCTCTCTCATTCCATTCTCTCTCATTCTTCCATTCTTTCTTATTCTCTCCTTCTCTTTCATTTTCTCTCTCATTCTTTCTCTCTCATTCTCTTTTTCATTCTTTCTCACTCATCTCTCTCTCTCACTCTCTCTTTCTTTCTCTCATACCCCAATATTACCTATATTGAGAGAGCTGCAAGTAGGCACAGCAGCCGGCAAAAATTAGTGGGTTATGCTAGGTTTTGTCAAAACTGCCCAACATTTGAAGCTCTTTATGTATTCGCAGGATTCCCTTTAAATTATTCATGCCCCTTTGCAGGAAAAGGCTGCCATAAGTTTACTATAGTTGAGGAATGGTGAGACATTATCCCTTCTTCTCAATTTTACGGCATCTCTTTGCTAGTAGAAGTTAGGCAAACCAAAAAAGAAATCGATAAACTGCTGAATAGTGTACTGAGCCCTTTGCAAAACAATATTTAATATTTGGAAAATGAAAAAGAATAACCTTCTCAAGAACATCCATTTTCAATGGTCTGTTCAAAACAAATTATCCCCAAGAGATCTAGGTTGCCCACACTGGATAAAAATAAATAGAAAGGGGAGCGTAGATTTATTTAACTGCAGTAAAATTTAATCTAAGCCCATTCTGAGTCCAAGATAGGAAGTCAAAGCACTTTCATTTGTCATGTACGTTTTGCAGGTTAAAGCTACCTTCATATGGAGGTTTGCAAATCTCCCATAAAAGTGCCTCAATCAATCAAATTGGTCTGCGTAAGGTTTACCCAGACTGGCTCATGTTTATCTCCACAATATCCATTCCAATCAGCTGGCTAAAGAATCTTCACAAAGAGACAGGTAAATCTTAACTTCTGATTGTTTGTTTAACAATGGTTTGAAGTTATGACAGCCTCAGGAAAAGTGGCTTACAACATCCTTGAAGTTACAGCCAACCATGTGATCAGAATTTGGGGGCTTGTCCACTAGCTCACAGTTTCTTGTGGCCAGGAGATTATAGTTTATGACTTCTCTGCTGGCTTCCAACTAGCAAAGTCAGGTTGGATTCACTTAACAACCACAGTAAAAATTAGTCCTGAAATTGGGCCGGGTGATATGATGACTTGCTTAATGATGGCGTTGCTTAGAACTGAAATTCCAAACTCAATTTATTTATTAAATATTTGTCAAATTTTAAAACTGCCCATCTCCTTCGTAGAAGGAACAATTGTGGTTCATAAATCAAGGACTATCTCTGGAAGATTTTCGCCTTCTCAGCCTAGTTATACGTCGTTTGGCCTATTGGAAAGCTTGAATGACTGGAAATGTTATTAGGAACCAAAATAAACAAAGCAAAAAGAAGATGGTTTTCCTTAGGCAAAAGCTTGAAAAAACGAGCCTCCATCACCAGAGGGAGACGTCCATTTCTGCCCTCCAGAAGCTGTAAGAGGCTTTTCCAGATCTTCTAGAAGGCCTCCCATCTTCTGTGCTCCATCGTTGATGTGTTTTCCTATTTGCCAGCTTCCCCTTAAAGTGCATTAATCAAGAGGGACACTGATCACAACCTAGTCTTGCAGAGGACAAGAAA